TGCCCGACGCCAAGGTGAGCGAGCCCCCGCGCCCCCGCGGGTGGCGATCCTGCAGCGGCCTGGGCGCCGCTGATCCAGGTGACGGTGTTTGTGAATTCAGGGGATTTTCCGGGGGTGGAGATGTTGGATGGCGATTCCTCTTGCAGTGCTGCCTCCAAACAGAAGTGAGATTTTTCTCGTTTTCCGGCCAATCTGTTGGCCACATGTTTAGGATGACAAGGAGGACGCCCGCCCCCTTATCTTTGGTTCTCCTAACAGGAAGGTGTCCTCTTCCAAAGTATTGATGAATATATAGGTTGTAAGCGCCAGGGGAAAACTCCAGTGTCTCACATTTGCCCCGAGGTGGGTAAACGAATGTCATGTTTACCCTTCCAGGAGCTCAGCACTTCGGATCCTTTTCCCTTTGGCTTGGCGGTGAGTGGCACCCGCCTCCTTGCTTGAGTACTTTCTCCTGGTAGTGGGGCTCCATCAAGGACATCGCTGCTCGGTTTTTGCCCCATACTCTGGCCGTCTGCAGTGACTGAGGTTGTGCTTCTCTCCTGCCCAGCTGCTGCTCCTCAGGCGGCAGAGCAAATAATTCCAGGATTTCCCCGTGTCCCAGCAGTACTTCATAATGCTACCATGGCTGCAGAGGACCACCCACAGCTGCTCCGGAGAACTTGCTCTCCGTTCCTAGGTCTTTCAGGAAAGCAGTAACCTGTGTTCACTCTACAGCAAGGACCGATGGAGCTGACAGCAGTATGATTACCATCCAAATGCTTCTAATCACTTTTAGAGCTGTCAGCATTACATGCATTAAGGCCAACTGGGATGAAGTTAAAAAAAAAAATGGAGGGATTGAGGAGATTGGAGTGTGTTTGAAGTTTCTTATTTCTTCAACAGAGAATGATCTGCCTAGTTGGTGGCGCATAGAATTTGGTTATTTTCTTGGATCCCAACTGAGAACGTCATCAGAGAAAGGAGGACTGAGGATGATTAAAGGGACCATTTCTTGGGGTTTCTTTTCTGTTCCTCTCTTCTCCCACTTCTGGACTCCTTCCTCATCATTTGGGCTGTCTATCCAGCCATCTGAATTTACTTATTCCAGGTTTCTCAAGGTGATCTACCTCCCTGTATTTTTTCCATTTTCCTACATTGATGACTCAGGAATTAAGAATAGCGTTTTTGTCAAACTGTGAGTGCGGTAATCGGTGTCCTGGATTGAAGCCAGGTGGCTCTACCTGAAATGGAGCCTATTTCGGATCATTCTTTCCCTTCCCTCAGTCTTGCCATTTGTGAAATAAGAAAATTGGTTCAGATCATTCCTAAGATCTCTTCCAAGTCTAAAATTTTATAGTTCTCAAATTACTGTCTTCTTCCCTCAATGTTTTACTTGAACATTTCATACTGTAATTCTAATTGTCTCTTTCCCTGATGACTTTGCTGACAATTTAACTTGGAGTAAACAGTCTTTCTGCTAGTCAGCTGTACTCATATCTACCACAGAAATGTCATGTCATACATGGAAGGGCTTTCTTCCAAAGGTAGGCATATTAGTAGTTTGTAGCTTTCAAATTCTAAATAGGAAATCCTAAATCATAAAAGTAACTGATAGAAACAGTGGCAGTGGGGCCTACATTGGTTTGAATGCCAACCTTCTTCAGTTCTCAATTCTGTTTGCACATGAAAATCACCTGACATTTGTTTAAACACTTTATGGAAAATTTGAAACATTTTCCATGTTTCGAGGTTTAGGAAGAACAATGTAATGAACTCCTAAATACCTGTCACCCAGTTTAAACAATGATCACATCATGAATGAATTTATATAACCTATATCCATTCACTCTCCCCACCAATTATTTTGAAGCAAATTCCAGACATGTCATATGTTATTTTATCTATTTTAGGACAGATCTCTAAAAATGAGGGTTTTTTTTTTCTTTGTTTAACATTATTATATGGGAAACTTAAAAGAGATTCCCAGGCCCTATATTTGAATCAGAATCTGAGAATTATTCTTAGACATACGTAGACATTTTGTAATTCTAATGCAGCTTGTCAGACAAGAGTGCATTGCTTTAAGAATATGGAGACCAGGTTTTCTCTTAAGCCACTTATATAATGTGCCAGTGCCTTCATTTCTCTTTCTCTGTTTACTTCAGATTATACAGCTACTGGTGACTCAGTGCAGTTTTGAGGATGATCGAGAGGCAGTGTGGAAGGTAGACTGCCGCAGCCATTTTGAAAATAAAGCCCAAATGAATAAGCTAGCCCTTTAAAGAAAAAAAAGACATTACTTTATTTGATAATCTCCTTTTAAAATATGTTTTATTGATTTTAAAGAGAAAGGAAGGGAGAGGGAGAGACAAAGAAACATCAATGTGAGAGAGAAACATTGATTGGCTGCCTCCTGCACATCCCCCAACTAGGGATCGAGCCTGCAACCTGGGCATGTGCCCTGACCAGGAATCCAACAGGCAGCCTTTCAGTGCATGGGACGATGCCCAAACTAATCGAGTCACCTGGCCAGGGCTATTTGGTAATCTTTTCACTTGATACTGTACAGTCTTATTTCTCTATTTACCAACGTCATTTAAGCCTATGTAAAGTGGGGCTCAGCAAACTTTTTTTCTGTAAAGGGCCAGGTAGTAAATATTTTAGACTTTGCAGACCATATAGGCTCTCACAACTACCCATTTCTGCCACTGTAGCATGAAAACAGCTGAGATGCTAAGTAAATGAGTGAGTGTGCTATTTTCCAATAAAACTTTATTTATAAAACATCTGGCTTACTGGCCATAGTTTGCCAACCCTCCTTCTAAAGGATGGTATGTGGAGAGACTGTTCTAAGACATGTCCTCTGCCTACATCCAGCTAGATCCCCGCCAGAACAGAGATTGCTTCCTGTAAATCCCCTCAGAGATTGTTTGGTTGACCCCTCCCATATGTCCCAGGTGTACTGGTTCCTAGAACAAGCGCTTGCCCTGGCCTGGGCAGGCACTAAGGCTATTTCCCCTTATCTAGGGCGGCTCCTGCCACAGAACTCCTATCCATTTTGCTCTGTTCTATATATTTCTTCAGTGCCTGCTGCAGGGCTTGGAGTTTATCCACATTATCTTGCTGAAGTCCAAGATGAACCTCATGTAAGTTCCCTTAATAAACTCTGATGTAATGATGGCACTGTCAACCTCTTTCTTCAGTCTCTCAGTCCCAGGAAATTTCCCAACATGGTAATGAAAAGAAACTAAGTAAGGAGTCGATATTTTTCAGAATCCTACAGACCTCATTCGATATTGGAACTGCTTTTGTTGAAGGAAGCTGTGTTTTTGACCTGATGTTTCTTGAGGCTCCAGAATTTTCATTCCTACTCCTGAAATAATTAGTATGGTGGGCAAGTAAGAGTTCATAACCAATTCTCAAAATTTAAGAAAACAATGATCTGGTTTTTATATTTTTAATGCCCTTTGTAACCTATTAGCTAAAATGGAGTTTATGAATTATTTATGAATTTCAGTATCTCTATCTTCCATTGCAACTGATAACTGAGAGCTGTTCATACTTGCATGTGAAAAATACATGGCTACTGTAATTATTTTTTAAAGAACCACTAGCGGCCCGGTGCACGAAATTCATGCACAGGTAGGGTACCTAGGCCTGGCCGGCGATCAGGGCCAATATGTGGGCTGACTGGGGATGCCCGCGGGCACCCATCTTGGCTGGCCTGGCACTGCCCACTCGCTGGCCCCGCCCCCTGCCGCCACTGGTTGCCTCCCTCTGTGGGGCGATTGGGGGGGCCCCCACTGGCACCTGCCTTGGCCGGCCTGGCATCGCCCAC